CCCCAACGAGTGGGAGATTTAAAGGTCGTCTATAACTCCCAGGCAATAAAACCTGGAAGAAAACACACTGAGGAGCCAAAACAGTTCCCCCGAGCAAGAAGATTACGTCATGTAGTACGTATTGGCCCGAGCATACGGCAAATATGGTCAATTCTGGAGTTGGGACAATCAAGCCACCAAGACGTCTCCACCACTGGCCGCCGTATTTGACTATGAAAAATGTAAAAAGTTTTAATACTGTCCTGGGAGGGTATGAACGACGAGGATGAATTAAGTTCATTGCTGTGTTCTTAAAGTACCAGCTGAAGGTCAAGATCAAGGTGAGGAAGAAGAGGCTTTCTTCCGAGGACTTTTGCAAAAATATGGATGACTGTAATATGACTGGTGCGAGTGAACGTTACCAACCTCGAGTGATATCTCAAGCTAAGTGATTGAAGAACTTATTCTTCCGAGAAAGATATGCCTGTCCAGTTAGGCTAGTGTAGGAGACTTTTCTAAGTTTTTTTTTTCTGAAATTGCTTCAAATAGGTAGGAAGTGAATGATCATTGGCCCATTTTGTTTGTTTTAGTCCCCAACATTTTCCGTTTCTCCATTCCCCGTCCCCATCTCATTTTTAGGCGACAGAAGACAAAATTCTATGGCGACATTTATTTTATTTTTATTTTTTCTATTTGTTTTTTTCTACATATTCTCATCACATTTTTGACCACTTAACTTGTTTTTCTGGCATATTTAGCCGTGGGGTTGGGCCCTATACTAACATTTTTATTTGTATTTTTTTTTCTTTATGTCATACCTATTTAGGTCTTTTTCCATATTTGTAATTTAAATTTCAATAAATATCCATGACTTATTAGAATGGAAACAACAAAGCAAAAGGAAACCGAAAAAGGTTATATGTCGAGATAAACGAGACGTCAAAAATGTAAATTTAAAGCTTAGGTTCCTTGTATCTTTAATGTTTCGATATCAAATTGTTACCGGCGTTTGTTGTATTTATAGCCTTTTCTATAAATAACACCATTGAAAAAAATATTAGTTTGAAACTGTTCTTTCTCGAAATAAAAAGTGATACTAAGGATTTTTTTCCACTTCTCATTCGATTGCACACACACACACATATATATATATATATATATATATATATTCAGTATCTGACATTTTCATTAACATTTTAATAATTTTGTACATAGTTATAATCTTCTCGATTCTTTGGTTTTTAATTTTCATTTCTTAGAATCTTTTCAGCTTTCGAAATTTCTGTCCTGTCGTTTTGATTTTCTACGTTGTCAGTTGACGAATTTGATACACTGATAGGACTCATAGCTTTCATGAAAAGAGTCTTTGCTTTTTCATCTACTTAACTATTCATATTTAACGTTCATTGAATATTAACATATACACCAGACACTTGAGGATCTGAGAGTAGAGCGGTCGAAACATTGCGATAAGTAAAACGAAGATAAAAATGAAAGTCGGAAAGAATCTTTTTATCTGAATAATAAGATCTCATCTGAAAAATCCAAATCAGACCTCAGAATAAGATTAATAAAATGATTTCAGTCAGACAGAGCGTTAAGTATATGATCTTGTTTCAATAGAATTGAGAGATCGATCGCGTGAAGATAGCTGGTCAACAGGTAAATTTGGGGGAACAATGAATGCCTGGACTAAAGACGTTTTCCCAGTAAAATAAAGAATATAAAATGTCGAGTAATGGGATAGATGTACTGAAGTGTGGATGACTCTGTAGCTGAATAAGCAAAGGGTTACTGAAACCTTTGTACGAAAAACGGATGATAGCTGGACAGAAAAATAATGGATGGCTATATACGTATATAAACAAAACAAAGCATTGATCTCGTTTCTTTAGTAAACAAAGAGAGGTAAAGAGATAAAAAAAAAACTGAAAAATCTTGAACCAAAGTCGTCGTTGACGAAAAAGGAGAGTAAGGCGACATAGATGCGAGAGTCGGGCGAATAGTTCTTCTCGCTTGCAAACATGACAGGCAAATAATATTCTGAGAGACAGACTTTATAAGAGGAGCCGAACTAGATTATGTATATTTGCGCGAGAGTGTTTCGCGCAACAACATAAATCATCGAAGCGCCATTGTTACGAATGTCACAATTCGTTTTCGACGGCGGTAAGCTGAATCATGACTCCCCCGGTCTTGTTTCAACGGGTCCCCCATCCGTGGGTACGCCTGCTTCTTGAGCCTTATTCCTACCAGACACCACCACTCCAACTACCTCATCAGAAACCACCCGAGAAGACGAGTCCGAGTACCCTTAAATGTTGAACTACAGGGGTGTTCGCTTCAGGTAACAAGTAAGTAGGTGTGGCGTCGGTAGCGTTCATATATAAGTCAAGAGGAAGAGAGAACGGACAACGACGCATCTTGTAGAGTCAATACTTCATTAATCAAAGAATTGAGTTTCTGGATTTAGATTAATCACCTTACCGTAAGAAAATGAATGCCGTCATTTGAAACATTTTTATGAATTTCTCAGATGAAGTTTTACCATGATTTGATAAACTATTCCAGTTAATACTATCTTTATTTTTGTTTTTATCAGTAAGTAAAATAAAAGGTTTTCTACTCTTCTTCCGAATACACCTGTCTAATAGTGGGACAATCTACTCCCTGTTGCAGATGCCTGCTCAGGCATACGAGTGTTTGTTCAAAAACCTCAGAACAAACCAGCTATGTTGAACAGAACTTAGTTAAATTTCTGGAAGAGAGCACATAATCTGGTGTGATCAGTAATTTGAACAAGACCAGATCGACCAAATCCTCGGTCATGATGACTCCGTGCTTGCACGCCGATATTACCAAGGTCACCTCTTTGGTGGGATTCGAATTGGGATCTCATGGTTGGGACGCTCATATACTAACTACTCGGCTACGCCGATTAGCACACTTCGGCCAATATATTTAACTGACTTACTGGTTAATCATGAGCTTCTATAAAAGTGTTCTATGAATAATGAATGTATGCCTTAATGGTAACTCTAATGGATCGATAAAGTCAAATTTGCAGCTCTTGGAGATGATTTCCAGTCTATTCATAATTCAGTGGGGAGGCACGGTGGAGCAATGGGTAGCGGCTCTGTCGGATCCATTACATTTATTTACGTGCTAATACCCTTGGGAAAGGTAAGAATCCTCTTCCTCTCCTCCCAGCTATGGCTAAATAGCAGCACAGACTGGATTCTATAACTTGGGTGTAACCGCTCTAGGAGAAGGAAAAACTCTGAATTCAAAACCGGCCTGAAGAAGACAAGACCACTTGGAAATTCAAACAAACTATTGTTTAGTAAATTTTTTGTAGTGGTAAAACAAAAGCTTTTGCTCAGTAAACAAAGTCTTACAGAGCGTTAATGCTTAACTGGTGATTGTTAATTTTAACTCCTCCAAAACTAATCTGCTTTTTTTAATTGTCTTAGAGAACTCGTTTTGATCTCCGTCAGCATGGCTGATGCTAACCCCCAAGAGAGTAATTTATTCTACCTTTACGTTCTAATGTTTTCCACTGTTATGAATTGGAACGATGAAAACGAGTCAATTACTAAAACAGCCGCTAAGAAAGTCGGTTCACTCTGTCATGCTAAACCAGATACGCCTCATCATTTTACCGTTGAAGTTTATAGATGCCACCGCAAGTTCTATTCTTATAGTTTCTTCTTCTCACCTAAAGAACTCTCTTCGAGTTTCTTGCTTTCAACAACAATCTACAAAAATGTAACGTCAATCGTCATTTTCTGTCACATTTAATCCTGTTCTCTTTATTGTCCTTTCTCCTCAGTAACATTCTCTGAATTTCCTCCATGTTTAGTAATCACTTGCGCCTTAGTGGCTATATCGCCTTCCTTGGGGAGATGATTAAAAAAGAATAACTATTCTCACAATAGTTGTTATTTTGATTACTACATTATGGCAAATATGTTTTTCGGCCTTCCTAGTTGTACTTGAAGTTCTCAAATTATTAGATGTGTAATTCAAACTAGTATCCTCATTATCTGTCTATTCTTTGAGATGAGATATTATGATTACTTGCTTTCTTTACATTATTCGGAATCATCTTCATTGCCATATTCACAACGTTTTCAGTTTGAAATTCCAATCACCTGAAGATGTTCGGAGTGTACAAAGGCCGAAACGTTTGGGATATAGCAATGAAGATAGTGATAACAGTCCGAATAATGTAAATAATGCGAGTTTGACGTTTTGAACACAAATTTTCAACCGATAAATTCTCTAGCCATCTTCAGCAAATATTTACGCCTAGACACCATTTTTTAACCCAACCTACCACAAATTTAGTGGTAACGAATGTCAGCAACAAACACATAACGGGCCGAAATAATTGACTATTCAAAATGTCAAAAATTGCTCTATTTTTGAAAACAAGATATTGACAACACAATTGAAACCTGGTTTTTGATAGAAACTCTGTACACTTAATGTATTAAGTAAGATAAGTTTACAAGTTGTCCAAAGAAGTGATACGCGCAAAGTAAGAAAGGTGAATTTGCTTGTTCAAAATTCATCGAACAAGAAAAGTAGTTCCAATAATTCTAAACTTGAACACATTGTCCAACACAGTGAAGAAAACAAAAAAAGGTAAAGATATTAGGTGTAGTAATTAAGGAAAGCCTAACAGAATATAATCTTCGATTTTCAAAGAATAATAAAAAGACAGGAGAAAACAATTACCTGAGGCTTACGGCCCCAACGCGTTGAAACACCGATTCCCGTCCGATCAGCGAATTTAAAATTTGAATGCAATCTCAATCTTTAATTTCTGTCTTCTTAATTCTTGTTCTTTTATTGTCCTCTCTCCTTAATAGTAATTTTATCATACTCTCTAACACTCAACAGCCCCTTGCATCCTAATCGCTTTATTGCCTTGCATGGGGTGAAATGTTTAAAAATGAAAAAGTTATTACGATGTTGATCAAGCTTAATTAGTCCCCACCATTTGTTAGTTGGCTTATGGCCATATAACGTTGAAACACCGGTTGCCGTACGATCACCGAAGTTAAGAAACGTCGAGCCTGGTCAGTACCTAGATGGGTGACCGTTTTGGAATACTGACATTGTAAACGTGCAGGTGGTATAATGGTTATGAATTTTGTAATCAGAGAGTCGAGTTCCAATTTCGATTGGGTTCCTTATATTCACTTACTTGGGGAAGGTATGAACCTACCTCTTCTCCCCCAGGTATGGGTTAATTAGTAAATCTTATATCACTCTATCATTATTATCTCCTTCCCACCACACCCCAATTTCTTAAAAACGCAAAATAATTTTTGGCTTCAAATAAGCCGTAGAAAATCAATCCATCCATCAATAAAAAACAACTAATATGAAATAAAACAGAATAAAAAATCAGCAAATTTAGATTTTATTTTAACATTTTCATCAGTAGAAATCTCGTGGAATTGTTCAGCATCATTATCAGAGTTGTTTTGATTTGAAGGCATACTGAAAATTTAGATTTCACATTTTCATCAATTTTGTAAATAATTCTTGCTAGGACCGCATCAACAACGTCGTGGTCCTCTCTCAGTTATCTCTCTCCCCAGCATCCATGAACATGGCCTCCGATGTACGGATCACGTGTTCAGAATGTGTCCCACTTGACTCCCACGCATCATCTTGTTTGGAGAACCCGCCAATGGACAAGAGGCTATACAGAGACCCGAAACGAGGCTTCAATGATCAGTTGAGGAGATCCCTGACACAGGCCAACATCGACACTGAGACCTGAGAAACCGCTGCTGCCAATCGACCTTCCTGGTGTAGGACAATCCGAGGGAAATCGAGACGTTCGAGTCCAAACGTCAACATGAAGAGGATTGCGACATGCTGTCAGTAGAGCACCACTAGCCCAGCTTTGTCCACCAGCCAAGCTCCTCTGGGATTCCTGCTCACGACTCTTCAGGAGTAGGCCGCGCCTTCACAGCCATCTTTGCTACCGACACCAGGGGAGTTCTACTACTGGATTCTATGGCCATGTGTGGCAACCGGTCTAGGAGAACGAAAAACTCTGAATTCGAAACCGAACTGGAGAGGGTCGTGTTCCATCAGGCTATATTGCCCAAGAAACGTCAGTTCTACTGCGGTATACATGGTGTACCTACGTGCCTACGGTTGACGGGATAAAAAAAAAAAAACTCATAGTGTCCTTAATGCCGCCGTTCAATGCGTATACTATGATTGCTCTCCAATGACTTTAAATGTTATTCTTCCATGTGGTATTGATGACAAAACTATTTCCATGACATTTCAGTCACTTATGTGCTTTACGTGATAAACGTTTAGGCGATCATGTATCTTTCGATACATGATTGACGAGGCAGATTTTTTCCCACAGTAGATTGCCATTTCTTTCTGCAAGGCTTTCATCCAAGGCTGTAGAACCCGGCCTGGCTTGCTATTTACCCATAGCTGGGGAGAGAAGAAGAGAATTCATACCTTTCCCAAGGGTATTAGCACGTAAGTGAATGTAATTCGACTCGAATTCGAACTCCGCTCAACGATTCCTCAATCCGAGCCGTGCCATGACATTTACTCGATAAATTTTTGCTGCCTAGTTTCAATTACCTCTCAAGTACCTCTTTGATTATTGTTTCTTGTAGACAATATGTTTCAAATCTTAACGGCCCGAGACGATAATTCCTGCTTTTTCTTTTGGCACAGCTAAATGCTCCGATGGTAGAATCTTTACATGCAAAATGAGGCACTGATAAAGTTTTAAATACAAAGTTACCAATTTTTAACGGTTGAAGTCATGACCTTATACGCCAAAAAAGATTTGCTCACAGGTATTCATTTTAAAATTTTAATAACCGTTAAAAACATTTCAATTTATGAGGGTGAAATTCATAGGCTTACTATGAAGGGGTGATTCTAGTGTTGCTAAATCTTGCATGCATTAATTTCAACTTTTCTTATTTTTAACGGCATTCTTTCTTTCCAGGTAAACTACATATGATTGTTAAATAAAAACTTCATATGTAACTAGTAGCAAATTCTTTTGAAAATGGACAAAGTTTGGCATGAAATACTTGCAGAAAAACACTTACCTGTAGATAGTAATATTAGTGATGATTACGTCATATCTCCTGTTAATAACTTTTTTGATCTCCAAAAGGAACAGATGTTTTTGAACAATCAAATGTCAATTCACCTGGAAAAAAAACAATGCATTTATTAATAAGCAACGTTGGAATTAATGCAAACTTTCACGGCAATAGCATCACTCCTTCATAGACAGACTGTGGATCTCGCAACAGTAGCGTTTCTACCTAGAAAGGTTTTATGGTAACAATTTTTCCCTTAGACTTTTTCAGTTACTCGGAGGATTTTCTTACTGAGCAAAATGTTGATAGTAGCATAAAAATATTTAAACGTCCAATCGGTTAAATTTCTAGTAAGTTGTCGGTTAAGAAACCCGTCTAATAATTTTAAACGTGGAAAATCTGGTAAAATCAACAAAATTTTTGCTATTTCATGATAGTGACGTATAATGGTATCATTAGCGGTTTCCTCGTGAGGAAACATTTAAGCTATAATAATTTAGGGATATTATATGAAGCATCCTGAAGTTTTCTAAAGATTAAGAAAAAATAAAATTAGCTTATATTCTCGCCAGAGGCTGAAAATGACGTGACTAACTTGTCAAAATTTCACTAAATTAACAAACGTCAGAATTTTTGAAAATCGCTTTTGATTGAATCGAGTACTTTACAGCGTTTCCTCACACACACACACACACACACACACACACACACACACACACACACACACACATATATATATATATATATATATATATATATATATATATATATATATATATATATATATCCAGTGGGTAGCAAAAGTATTTAACACATCGGTTTTTTATAAATTTTACGATAAAAATTGTTCAATTTGAATCATACTTACTTTAAATATTTTAATGAACATTGTTTAACCAAACATAAAGGAAAATTGAGAAACATTGTTTTTATGTACTTTTGTGGCCAATTTTCGAATTTGACTGCAAAAGTATTTAACACAATTTGTTAATATTTAGTAGCATATCCTTTGTTCTGTTTGTTTGCATGAAGATATTTGGCAGTTTCACCCATTCTTTTTCACAGACTTTTTCAGTTCCTTGATATTTATTTATCTCTTTCGTGTACTCTCAACTTCAACTTTTTCCATAAATTTTCTATTGGATTGAGATCCGGTGACTGGTTAGGTCAATCATTGAACCATTGTTGAGTTGTTTTAGCCATATGCTTTGGATCGTTGTCCTGTTGGAATAAAAAAAAAACCTCTATCAAACCCCAAACCTGTTGTAATTTTTAATAGATTTGCTTGTATTTTGCTGCATTCATTCTTCCTTCGATGATTCCCATTTCTCCTACACCGTTATCCGAAAAACAACCCCAAACCATTACACTTCCACCACCCTATATTTCACTGTTAGGATGGTGTTTACTGATTTGTATTCAGTTCATTTTTTTACTCCATACTTGGGTTCACAGGTTTTTCTCGAAAAGCTCAATTTTCGTTTCATCTGACCAAATAGCTTTCCTCCAGAATTCATCTGATTCAAGTTCATAATTTTTAACAAATTTCAGACGGTCTTGCACATGTTTACGTTTTAATAATAGAGTATTTCTTGGTGATCTAGAATACACGCCTGTACGATTAACTGATCTCTTAATCGTATCTTTACTTGCTTCAATTCCGGCATTCTGAATTCTTCTTCGAGTCAAAAATGGTCGTTTCTTCAGATTTCTGGCTATACATCGTTCGGTAACCTCGTTTAATTTAAGCGAACTAACACTCTTTTGAATATTTTCAGTAGTATCATATTTTTCCACTTTCGAACAGCAGCACCCACAAGCAAATTTAAATCTTGAGCAAGGTTTCTGCGTACCACGTCGTTTGACAACTGATAAAAGTGCACTAGACTAATCCCATCACGTGAAAATCTGAATTGTATTACCAGCAATAAATTTTTGGAAAAAAATATTACCACCAAAGAATTTTTTAATGAAAAATATCAGAAATACATTATGACCAGAAATACATTTTGAAACAAAAAAAATTACCAGCAAAAAAAATCTTAAAATAATTAAATAACCTATTGAGATTGATATGCCGTAAAACAAACCAAATCAAACCAAACCAAACCGAACCAAACCAAACCAAACCAAACTAAACTAAACCAAGCTGATGGTTCCTAGCCGTTAAACCTAGAAAATATCATGAATATTTAACCCAGCTGAAGTTTAGTATAGCACCATACAGATAAATTGGCTAAAGTCAAAACAAATGTAATATTTTATCAATCCAGATAACGCTAAAATTTGTCTATACGCCCCTACCTTACAATAAAAGAACAAAACAGCTAGTTTTGTCAATATTTAATATTGACAATTTTTGATATTGACAATATTCAATATTGACAATATTTAATACTGACAATATTTAATATTGACAATATTTAATACTGACAACATTTAATACAGACAATATTTAATACTGACAGTATTTAATACTGACAATATTTAATACTGACATATTGCCAATAGCTTTGTTAATAATTAATGGATGTTAGTGGATATAAATGTTTTATATATCTTAATAACAAATGGAATTTACAACACAGTTCTAGTATGGCTCCCTTACAGTCAGCCGATGAACTTTTCAGTCAATCCTCATAATTATCTCTAAGATAGAAGTCATTGAAATTTGATTTCAATAATTATTATTATTTCAGGTTAATACAATCTGATTTCAGTAATTATCTCTAAGATAATATATATAATTATTAATTGAGCTAATTATTAAATATAAGTTATTATAAATATAGGTAATTATAAATATAGTTAAATAATAATTAATTATAGTTAATAAATATAGCTAATTATTAAAGAGGTAGTTTGTTTTGTGAAATTCTTGTTATATTAAACAGAATGGAAGGAAAGACGTTTAAAGAGTTTCTCTTGCTGTCGAATAAATTTTAATGGCGACTAGAAACATGTGAAGGAATTTGACGAAAGTGTGTGTGATGTTCCGATGATACCTT